TTAACCTTAAAACTATAATTTTGAATTGAAATAAAGGACTTTGAGAGCCACTAAAGTCTATAAAGCACCATTGAAATAAATGATATATCCCATCTTTAAGTCTATTTATTAATGATGTTTTGAGACCATTGTTAATTCAGACTCACGACTATAAACAATATCTTCCTTTGTATTTTCCTTTCATTTAACATTTAAGACCTCAAACTCATGACCTTTATCATTATCCAATAATCCACATGGGAGATTAGAATCACTTTATTCATCCTCTACATCCTCTTTATTTCTTCTTCGAAAAAAAAAAAAACTTTAAAACACTAACTCTATTCAAACTTTTTGTGCTTGTTCTCACTCCACCATTTATGTTTGACCTCACTCCACTTTCATATTTGTTCGGCTTCACTATATTGCAGTTAGATATTCCATTTAGACTTGCTATGCTCATACTCACTCCATAATCTATATCATTTGTCCTCACTCCGCTACTGTACACTCACAACATCATTAAGGACTCTCATCCATCCCCTCTACCTCTTTCTTTGAAAAAAAAAAGTTTGAAACGTCAAGACAAAAAGGAGAAAATAAGAAAAGTTAAAGAAGAAATATTATGAAAGAAGAAAATGTAAATAAAGAAACATCGAAAGAGGAATTTTCAGCAACTGGCAATATAGAAATTGAGAAACATAAAGAAAGACATGTGGTAAAAGCTTGAAAAATAAAGGACTTCCTATCATAAAATCATTCAACCACCACAATATAAGCAAAAGATTTATATTTTTCAACACATAACTCAACAGTTAAATTGGGAAAATCAATAGAGATATCCATACTCTTAAGAAAACACATAAACTTGTTAATATCAATGGTAAAACAAAAGCTTTTAATAGCACTCACAAGTGGGAACATATACTCAATCTGAAACTTTGGCCAAAGTAACTTAATTCTTAGAATAGGGGAATAATCAACACTAAAACTAATTACAAACTTTGTTAATGAAGCAAATACAAAATTTTCAACTTCATGCATATATTTAACATCCAGATTAGTATAAAAAGGACAAAAAACACTCAACTCAACACTAAATTAAAAATGAAAATAACAAGAGTCACAAATGATTAACAAAAACATTATAGATGAAGAAGAAACACTAGGAACATAAGAAAGTGGCTTAAACCGAAAAATAAAAAAATTATTGAGAAAGAGCAAAAAGTAAAGAGAAAAGATCAAATAGCAAATTAAAAGATTAACACCTATCCCTTAATATCTCCACTTTGTCTCTAAAGTTATCTCTATAATAATCAAGTTCATTCCCATGGAAGTTGGAGATGGAAATACATTAAAGATGGGCATAACACCAATATGATCACACCAAAAGTTTAATTTAATAGAGTAGCATTAACAACTTCAAATGATATATTCCTTGATTAATAACAACATGGCATGGTAGAAGAAGGAATTGCAATGAAAATTAGAAGGAAGAATAAATTTAAGCACAGTGAAAGTTAAAATTCTAGATCTTGCAAAAAGTTCATACAAATCTAAATCTAAAAAAGAAAAAATTAATAAAAATAAAAATACAATCCCAAACACTAGAGTAAAGTATTACAAAAATGTTTTACCCTCCAAGAACAAATTGCAATGCCCTCACCACCACCAATGTGAATGTTTAAAATATGGGAGTAAGTATATTAATTGGGGTTTAGACTCTTAAGGAAGACCAAATTCAATCCAAAATAAGCAATGATATGTTATAATACTGTAATTAATATATTACCTAGATAAGGTAATACATGTTTATAAATATATGTATTACAGACTTTACAACTATAAATTTCAAGTATTAGGCAAATCAAGTTGTAAGCTCAAAATCCATCTAGCATTCCTAACTAAGCATCCATAGAAAGGAGAGGTAAACATCTTTAAATCCTTAGTGATAAATTCTTTACAAAACTTTCTTTGCAAGCCAAGCAAAGAACTTCACCAACAACATTGCACATTCTTAGAGCAAGAAATTTTGAGAATCCTGGTAGTAATCTCTTGGTATTCATGGACTCAGCAAGATCTGCAACTGCCAATTGGCAAAGTTCTTGGAAATATTTAAATCATATGGCCCTGATTGTTGCAATTCTATCTACTATCCTACTGTTGGACATACTAAAGCACAATAAGAATAACACAACAATTTTTACCATAGAAGGATGAATCTAAAGAGAGAAAGCCTAACAAAGAATAGATCCACCATTGTCCCAAGTGGAGGAGCCTTCCCAAGCAGAACTGAAATTCCATCAACCTAGCAAATTTCTTGATCTAAGACACTACTGCCTAATCTTCTTGGCTTTGCCTGGAACTTCTAGAACTGGAATGGACCGGGATGATGCAAAGCTTTCAAGCCTGCTGATGCAATCTAGAAGAGTTGCACGAGAAATGAAGAAAGAGTTTTTACTCTTCTCAAGATTGTGAGATACACTTGGAACAGCTTCAAGAAAGACATAAGTAAAATAAGAAAAAACTAACTTAGGAATCTTGGAACCATTCAGCTCCTCCACAGTATCCACTAATGCATGTGACCATGTTAATCCATTTGAACACCGCATGCCAATCCCTTGAACAAATTCCTTCAACACCATTGATATTGTGTGGATTGCCATGCACCATGCGCTGCATGCTTGCAAAGAATGCCCTGGAAGATCCCATGAGAAGCACGCTGGAGCCAAAGAGATTGAATGATTCGGCCCTGCTCCACCTGACCACTGGAAAATTGGCCACTTCTGGAGTGCCCATTCATTGATCTAGGATGTGAGCTCTCTTGCAGCATGTCCTGCTCACTGTGAAGAATGATTTGTGGGCTAGAGCAATACTGACCGATTGAGCCGTGTGGAGCTGTCTAGTCCCAGAGGAATTCCTGGGAGTATACCTTGTGATACACTGGCAACAGGGGATGATGCTAAACCTTGCATGAACCGTGAACATCCCCGTACTCGAGCGGCACAAGCTCCTGGGCCTCCACCTCTGGTGCTGGTGTCCTCATCCGCGGTAGAAGTTTTGCGGCTGCAAGGGCGGAGGAAAGAAGAGTTTTACACCTCCTAGGGCGCACAACAAACAAACAGGTGTCATGCCCACCTTCTGGGCCGGCCCAAAATATTTTAGAAATGACGGCATCGATTGGGGCAATCGCAGTAGATCTGAACTGATCCTATAGTATTTATCCTATCTGAACCATTTGCCACCAAGCTAAGCTTTTCACATTAAAACAACCAAGCAAATTTCTGGTCTTATAGCGAATCATATAGCTCCTTCACGAAGCAGCAAACTTTTAAGCAACTCTTCCACGCTTTTCTGCATCGTCTTACTCTCCAGCTTCTCAATCACTTCAGCTCCAAAGGAGAACACTAACGCACTGCGTGCTGTTTGAGCATCTATCCCACGAGCTCGGAAGTAAAACAGTTGGTCTTCATCCAAGTCACTGATGGCTACACCGTGGGTGCACTTGACATCATCGGCATTTATCTGAAGGCTCGGCTTCGCATTCACTGTAGCTCTCGGAGCAAGTAACAGGGATCTACTCAACTGGCCAGCATCAGTTTGCTGCGCATCCCTATGAATCCAGACTTGGTGCGTAAGCAAAAGCAGAAAATAAAGAAAAAAAGAGTATTTTACCTGTTTACGCGAATGTTGCCATCAAACACACCATGTCCTGTTGAGTTCATGACAATGCACTTCTGGAGTTGTCTTGCATAGCCTCTGGGATGGTTCAGTATCAACCGGCTATGGAGGTCTTGCACCTGATCACGACCGCACAACAGGAACGTTAACATCTCCGTTTTAGTGTCGGAACCAAGCTGCTCAATGTGGAGATTGTGCCTGCTTAGCTTGCTCCCAAGTTCCACGTCCACGCACTTGTAGCTACTAGCTTTCTCCTGGAAGGCCCAATGTCAATCATCCAGAATAGCGGCAAGAGAAAGAGAATTTACCTGTGAGACATAAGTCTTTTTCATGCTCACAGAAGATCGCCCTTGAGTTTGTATCAAGTCGTGCGACACTGAAGCTCCCGACTCGATAACAATCTCACACACGGAATTCGTCCAGTGAGAGCTCTCCTCTGTTCCTCCTCTGAACTCCTCAACCAGATGGACCGTTGCTCCTTCGGAGGCCACCACGAGCAGCCTTGGATTTGTCATTGACACGACTTGAGGTTCAAGCTGGTTCTTCAAGTTCTTGCGAGGAGTCGAATAGTAGACAACGTGGATAGGCTTCTCCAGCTTCAAGTCCTTGGGAACCAGCACCACACCCAGATCCAGCGCTCCAATTCCATTCAGGGAGACGAAAGCATCCTTGTCTATCAAGGTTGACGCCTGTGAGATCCTGGGGACGACGTACTTCTGGAGCTTCTCATCCGGAGCAGCGAGTATACTTCCAACGTAAACTTCAGGAGGAACTCCTTCGACTTTCGACAATTCCGGAGAAAGGATCCCATCCACGAAGACCAGCCTGATGCTCTCACCTTCTTCGTCTTCCATGCCCTCAAAGCTCAAGCTCTCCACTTCATCTCCACCAATTATCAGCGGCTGGATCTCTGAATCCTTGAGAAACTTCACGTTTGTGAACCTGTAAGCTTCGTCTTTGCTGCTAGGCCACTTACACGTAACCGCGACCTCGGCCGATCCATCCCGCAAGGCTTTCAAGACGAGATTGCTCCTCCTCTCCTCCCCAGCACCCTTGCTCACGCTGTCCTCGAGCTTCTCTGCGAGCTCTAGAAGAAAGAAATCCGGCCTGCTCTCCACTGCTAAGGCTCGAGGAGCAGTAATCCGGGCTCTCGATCTGCTCTGCCATGGGCGCCTTCCTGGACCGGAAGATTAGGTGCTGAGAGAAGGCAATTGCATCTGGCTTACCGAAATCCAAGCGGGAACGAGCTCGCGGCCTGCAAACACTCCATCGCGCCTAAGAGCCCTAATGCGGACTATGGAATTGTTGAGAATATTCTCCGTGAAGAACCCTAGAAGCATTTGCCCAGAGAGGCACAGGATGCTTGGCGCGGTGCGATTCGTCTCCAGGGATTCTGTCGCGTCGTCTTCAAATGTAAGCTCGTAGATCGAGATTATTCTAGCGCTCACTCCGCCGAGCTCTCTTACAGGATGTGGATCGCGAGGGAAAGACGGCCGATGCCGATGATCCAGAGATGCTTGCCAAGCGGAAGAACGCTGGCTTGGAATGGATGTCAGTGGCGCCAAGCAGGCCTCAACGAGCCGTCCCCAAGGAAGAGATTGCTCCTTCCAAGGCAGAGCGCGACGAGGTTAGAAATTCTAGTCCCGTTTTCGTTTCCTCACAATCACGCATGGATGAAATGAACAGAAACCTCCCTCGAATTCAAAGGAGCTCAATCCACACTGGAAAGATGGCGGCGAAGGATTTCCAGAAGAAGAACATGTAGCTCGACGAGTTCCCGGAGGTGTCGGCGATGGGGGTGCTAGTTGGCTTCTCAAGGGATTAAAGCGTGCTCAAGAGCGTGCGGCACGAGAAGGAGCGAGTCTTCCAGATGTAAGTGTTTCTCTTCCATTTTCCTCTTTACTTCTCGTGGCTTATGAATTGAGGGGATACAGGTTATCAGTGATCGATGGGGATCGTTTGATGCGTTCTCTCGCGTAAGTAACAAGCGAGCGGCACATTCCAACGCACATCTCCATGCTATTCGCGACAGAAAACGTAAGTACGAGCAGGAACAGGAGGCAGGACGCTCAGAGGATGAGCCTGCGAAAGAAGATTCTCGGTCTGCGAGGGAAGGTTCTCGGATGAGAGCTCCGAGGGTGGATGGATCACTCAAATGGAAGTCACAGAGGAGGGATACCATGCGCTCCGAGGACTCTGCAGTCCTCAAGGCCGCGGCAGCGTCTTACAACATATTTGAGAACGATGGGAGCTTTATGGAGAAGTTTAAACAGATGCAGGAGAAGACGGATAGAGACAAGCCGGATCAATCGAGTGGTGGTGGTGATGATGCTGTAAAGAACAAGGTCGCTACCATTCAGAGACGTGTTCGCGAAAGCAAGGATTCAAACTATGACAGATCAGGTCATGATGCGGCAATCCAAGGACGTGCTCGCGAAAGCAAGGGACCAGAGGTCGATCAACCGACAGCTGATGATGATCCTGTGAAGAGGAAGATAGCTGCAATCCAGAGACGTGCGCAAAACAAAGATTCCGATGGTGACAAGGTTAAAACTTCGGCTGGCGGCGATGATGCGGCGATGAAGAAAATCACTGCCATCCAGAGACATGCTCAAGAAAACAAGGATTCCGATGCGTTCCTTGCGTCAAAGATTTATCGCTCGAGGGAGAGGTATCAAGCCGACGATGAGTACGACGACGTTGGAATCGAAAGCGATGCTTATAAGAAAAAGTCGGCAAGGAAGGGAATGACGAAGGCCAAGAACAGCGCGGTCTCTCAGTACAATCGTATTCAGACACAGAACGAGCGCTGCCGGTATTGCTTTGAGAACTCGTCGAGGCCGAAACATCTAACAATCGCGATTGGCAACTTCACGTACTTGATGCTTCCTCCTACGTCTTCACTTGTACCGGGACATTGCTACATTGTTCCTTCGCAAGTAAGCTCTTTCTTTCAAAGTTTTCACTAAATGCTAAAGCTCGCGTTTGATTTAATAGCACGAAGGCTCTACAAGGAACGTTGATGACGATGTTTGGGATGAGATTCGGAACTTCAAAAAGTGCCTGCTCAAGATGTTCAAGGAGCAAGAGAAGGATGTGATATTTCTAGAAACGGCCATGAATCTCTCGCAGCAACGTAGGCATTGTCTGGTCGAATGCATCCCCGTTCCTCCCAACGTACTCCAGCAAGGTCCGCTTTACTTCAAAAAGGCAAGTCCTTACGTCGATCACTGCCGGAATAACTTCACTGACACCGTGTAATGACCAGGCAATCGACGAGGCCGAAGATGAATGGAGCCAGCACAACGCGAAGAAGCTTATAGACACCAGAGGCAAGGGGCTTCGCTCCTCCATACCAAAGAACTTTCCGTACTTTCATGTGGAGTTCGGGCTGGAAGGCGGCTATTGCCATGTGATTGACAACGAAGAGGACTTCGACAGCAACTTTGGTCGGAACGTTCTCATCGGCATGCTCAAGCTTCCCCAGGAGACGATGCACCAGAAGGCAAAGCACGCGTCATTCGATCATCAAGCGACTGCTGTGAAAGAGTTCCTGCAGCAGTGGAGGCCTCACGATTGGACGCAAATGCTCCAGTGAGCAATGGAACTTGTACTTGTATGATAGGTAATTTACTTATTTTCCATCTCAGTATTTACACTTCTCAGTTCCAGAGTCTATTCTTCTTTCTTCAGCCGTTGTTGTTGCAAGGCGCCAGTGAAGAACACCGGCACGAGCGTGAATGCAGCCTCTACAACAATCCCCAGCGCCAAGTAGTCGAAGTTCTGTGAAGAAATACCGAGTAGCGCAGCGAGAGCAACTCCAAAGTATCCGCTCGCCAGGTTGGCCAGGCACAGGCAGGCCGAGAAGACAGCCATGAGCGTCCCCTCGGCTCCCGGTGGACAAATCTTTCCCAGCAACACCGCGAAGGGAAGAGCCTTGAACAGGCCTATGGCTTCAACTAGTCCCGCGAACAAGAGCACGAAGTACTCGTCCGTCACGCCCAGCAGCCGCGAGTTGAGCCGCTTGACGAGGAGAACATCGAGGAGCATCGAGGAAGCTAGAACGATCTGGATGCTTGCGGCCAGCTTCGCGAGTGGAACGTCCTTGAGGTAGCTGTTGAAGGATATAGAAGCCAAAAGAAGCCCGAGCTGAGCCACGGCCTTGGAGAGGCCGAGGTAGAACGAGTCGACGCGGAGAACCTGGGTTTGATAGTAGAAGACGCTGCCGAGCAACGAAGGGATGATGGTGACCGACAAGGTGAACCAGAGAAGTGGACGGAGTATGTCCGGCCTTTTCACCAGGTTTGCCATCTCCACAGCCTGTTGTGTCATGCTTTTGCGTTTATGTTTCCTTGGCTGATCCTTGTCGTTGTCACCCTTTGCAGCGACCTCCTGCGATGCAACCACCGACTTCTCGCTGACGGAGTATGAGACGGCAAAGTTGAGCGTCACCACCATGAGGAACATCGAGAAAATGGTCGTGGTTTGGAGCTTACTCAGTGCTACCCCGGCCAGCAAGTTCCCCAGCGTTGCCCCCAGCGAAAAGGCGACCATTGAGAAGGACTGGAGCTCACCTGGGGAGCTCCCCCGTCGCTTGCCACACTCGGCCACCAGAGCATCGTTTGCGACCTCGCCAATGGCGACGCCAAAGTTGCTGAGAGTGAGGTAGAGCGCGAGGAGGCCGATCGAGTTGGCGACTTTGGGGAGAAACGCGATACTTCCCCACGAGAGAAGTTGTATCAGGCCTGCAAGGAGTGAAAGAATGTAAGTTTTCTAAGAACAATTGGTAACACCGACCAAGAATCTATCTAGAAGAAACTTGGAAGAAGATCTAAGAACAGTACATCAAAGAAAACGCGCAAGAGAATCAAAGAAGACGTAGAAAGGAGAAAGGAATCGAAAAAGCTACGTACCTGCGAAGATAAGATATGGAACCCGGTGAGCTCCATTGATGTAGATGGCGTCGGAGACAACGCCGTAGAGTGGCTTGGCAAGAAATGGCAAATTGGTGCTTTGCTGCAAGAACTGGAGCATTCCCGGATTCAGCTGGAGATCGTCCTTGAGATGGTAATTCACGGCCAGCCACGGGAAGCACCGGAATCCCTGCACCCAAAACCCCACGCCGATCAGCGCCAGCAGCGGCATTCCATACACGCCGCGCATGCGATCCACCCACGAGCTGGCCGCCATCGCCGAATTCGCGAGAGAGGGAAAATCAAGAGAGGAAGAAGATTGGAGGGATCAAGGATGATCGAATCAGCGATGTATATATGAATGAATCGAATGGAAATAAAAATGCACGAGTGCTCCTCGATCCGGCTTCTACCAGGCCGAGGGAGAGAGCTTAAAAAGAGCCCTAGAAAAACCAAAAGGTTTGCTTTGAAGGTGATGTGCCACTCGCTGGTAGTGCCACCTGTCAGTGCAAGGAGCAAGCCAACAGACACACAAGACAGAATATCCCTCTCAAGCCCAATGGATATTCTGTCAGGTGTAGACAGAATATCCCTCTCTACTAAGAGCCCTAAATTTTCAATGATCTTTGTCGTCGTAAGAAATGTGGGGGAGGGTTTTGCACCCGGGGGCATGCGGATCCTCCGCGCCGCAGCAATCGTAGAATTTGGCGTCGTAGGGCGGCTCGTCGGGCCCCAATTCGTAGTACCTGGCATGGCGCTCTTAATTTCACTGATTTTCCTACTCTAGTTTTTGTTCTCTTGCCTCTTTTGATCGTCGTGTCGGCGGCACACAAACATGGCGCTGTGGAACCGACACGATCCCGACGTGTTGAGCGCGGGATCGAATGTTGTCTTGCACCGCTTGCAAACTTTCCCCCTTCCTTCCATGGCCCGCCTGGAGAGAAACCCCAGAGATGAATTCCAAGCGGGAAGAATCATGGGTTTATATTATACAGTGAGTTAACCTTTCTTCTTGCTTTCCTTTCTCCTTACTTACAATCAATCTTTTCAAACAAAACGAACAACGACACACGAAATATCGTCCATGCTCTTGAGCGCCAGGGCCTCGTCCGTCAACCTCTTCGCGGCGTTTTTTGGGTTCTTGATCTTCTTTATCAAATCCACAGCGTGTTGGTTCTTCATCACCTGCATGTAGCGCGTGAACAAACGATGCAAAATCCGACTCTTGATTACCTTCCAGAGCCCGTCACTCGCGAGTATCAAAAACTCCGCGTCTGGAGAGAGCTGCTCGTCGACAATGTCCGGCTCCGCGCTCAAGTGATCCTTGAGGTTCTTGTCGCCGAAAGCTCGAGCTACGGCCAATTGGCCATCAACGCGAGGCACATCGCCTGGAAGTAGGAAGAGAATCACTTTGCCAAGCTCGACGGGAAGAACAAAGACAAGTTTTACAGAACCTGGCATGTTGAGAACAAAGCCGCCTCTGTCCCGGATGTTCTTGTGCTCCGAGGCGTTGCTGGGCTCGTGATCGACCGAGAGCTGGCGAGCCTTGCCGGCCTCGCTCAGCACGGCGCGGGAGTCACCTATGTTGGCCACCAGTAATCTTAATCCGTCTACCAAAATTGCAGTCACTGCAGTAGAGCCGCCGGAGCCCAGCTCCGGGGCCTTGGCTAGTATGGTTTGATCCGTCTCCTGGTACGCCTTCCTTATTGCATTGCTCGGGTTTGTAAAGAATCCTGGCTGTTTTGTAGCGATCAATCGATCAGCGAGAGTGAAACCAAGATGGATTTGTTTTCGTCACCTCTTTGAGAATGTTGTTGAAGAGATTGCGCTTCAAGTAATCGGGAACACTGTGGCCGAGGTGCCCGTCGTAGATGGCAAACAAGCCCAGCTCGTGGTTCCTGTGAATCTGGTACTCGGCGACATAGAAATCTTCCATGGGATGGCTGGCCCTCCCTTTGACGCAAGAGAATCCATGGCGAACCCTTCGTTTGGATTGCTTGCTCTTGCCTTTGCCCGCGGAGGAATCTGCTGGCGCCTAGAGGGGAGTATCTTGTCACGAATCCGAGGAGAGAGAGGGATTAATCTTACCCGGCGCCGCAGTCTCAAGCACATTGCTCAGTGATCCTCCTCCCGACGATCGTAGATCGCATCAGGCGCAGCAGCATCGAGATCGGCAATAGGCCTGGCGAAGCCCTAGGCTAGCCTTGGTCGGCAGAGCTCAAGCGCTTGACAAAATCGCACGCAGTCTAGAGTCCGCCATAGCCAGTCAACGCTGGCACTGACAAAAGAAACAAAGAAAGCCGCTTCGAATCGGGGCCGTCCGCAGCCACTATCATCCGGTACACGTGGACGGCCCCGACTGCGCGCCGCGTTTTCAAACGCGCAGGTGTGGACTTTTAAAGCAAAGATTATCGGAAACTAAAGATCAGTTTTTCGAAAAGATACAAATTTCTCAGCTGAAAGGTTGTATAATTTTTTTCAACAATGAGAATTAGAAAGATCTAGAACTGACTGCTCAATGTTTGATTGGGTATCAAATTTGATCCGGAATCAATACTGATTCGGAATCGTGGCTATTGCTTTCTAGGGTTTGGAGCACATTTTCGTTGCGCGCTTGGAGGAGGCGCCATGCAATCTTTCGGTGAGTTCAGGAGTCTAGATTCGCCCCGTTCCGACTCTACGTGCGTCCCTGGCCCTGGAACCTCTCGCTAAAAATCCCATCTTTGTGCCAACAATCCAAGCGGACAATCAGTAGCTCGACTGGAGAGAGTGATCTCTAGGAACACTCTTTCAAGTGGCAATGAAAATCAGTGAGAAGAGGAATTTGCTCAAGCGGCTTTCTTTCCGAGAGGCGAATGACAAGGTCTGTAGTAGAGACGATCGTGGGTGGACTAATCTTCACGTTGCGGCACGTATGGGTGACCTTGACGAGGTACTTTCTACAGAATTCCTCTCTTTCGTGCTTTCCTTCACAACGTTTTCTCTGTTGTTCTACAGGTGAAGCGACTTTTGGAGAATGGAGCTGATCCAAACGAGCCATCTTTTGGCCCAAAGGCGCCGGGAACTACACCTCTTCACTTGGCTGCGGCTGGGGGCCACCTATCTGTGATCGATGAGCTTCTCGAGAGAGGAGCAAACATCGACGCTCGGACCAAAGGAGGTGGCTGTGGATGTGAGTTTCGACTTCTCTCTTTCCACCAAAAACATACAAGAAAAAAGGCTCTGATTCGATTTTTCCATTCACAGGGACTCCACTCCACAACGCTGCGAAAGAACGCAACAAGAAGGCGATGCGTTTTCTCTTGAAAAACGGGGCTTTTCTCCCGGACGATATCGATGACGGACGATTCAATCCCCCGCTCCACTACTGTCCAGGCCTCGAATGGGCATACATGATGAGAAGCAAGTTCCTAGCCAAGGTTTGAGCTGTGTTTTAGTCTCTTTGAAAAGAGTTAATGGAATCTATCCTACCTGGTGTGAAGTATACAACTGTCTCAGGCTCGATTCCCAGCTTCCTCGTCGCCTCCGCAAATGGCGTGTGAGGGTCGAAGCTCCGTGTCAGCTTGTTTCTATCCTGACGAAACCGGATTATCATCCCATCCGGTAATGCTTTTTCTTTCATTTTTTGATTTTTTTTACACACAGGTTGAATTTGCCCCTCTTAGTTTGTGTCACGGATGCTGCCTGACGAAACCGCATGTCCAATTGTGAATGGACTTGACGAGAACAGGCACAGGTAGGTGGATTGTTGGATTTGGGGATTGGCGAGCAAAGCTGCGCGAGAAAATCAGCTCAAGAGATGAGGCGCTTGTGCGTGCTTGGAGCGCTCAGAGGCCGTGCGCTGCTGAGATCTTCAGCTGCTTGTCAATCCAGACTTGATGGTGTAAATCAGCTTCCAAAAATTGTAAGTTTCTGCTGTGCTCTCTGGTTTCTTCTTTGATCTGAGGCATTCATTCTTTCTTTCTTTGATCCAGTTTGTGCAGCAAAGGGCTGAGAAATTCTTTCCACCTGTAAGTTTGCTTCTTTGTTCGTGGTTGATTTTCCTTGTCCTGGAAAATCTGATTTTTAAGTTGGACTGTAGAGGCAACGGAATTTTTTGTGCACGATGAGCGGGGAAGCAGCGAACGTGGTGTCTGAGGCAGGCATTGTGGAGGTGCCTCTGGCTCAAACAGGCGAGGGCATTGTAGATTGCGAGCTTGTGAGATGGTTCGTGAAGGAGGTATGCTCATAGTATAGGCTTTTGGTTCTCGACTAAAAATCGGTGTCTGAAAGGATCGCAGGGAGAATGTGTGGAGGAATTCCAGCCGCTTTGTGAGGTCCAAAGTGACAAGGCCACCATCGAAATCACGAGCAGATATAAAGGAAAGGTGTCAAAAGTGAACTTTATGCCCGGAGCCGTGGTTAAGGTAATAGAGATACTACTTAGCCCAGTCGAAGCTAACACCTTGCTTCTTTGGTTTTTTTCGGGTCGGAGAGACTCTGCTGGAGATAATGATCTCGGATGGAGATGGAAGTTTCAAGCTCGAAGAGAAGGAGAATTCCCAGCGAGAACGAGAAGTTCTTGCAACACCGGCGGTTCGCAGCTTGGCAAGGCAGCTTGGCATTGCGTTGAAGGACGTTGCTGGCAGTGGCGAAGCGGGGAGAGTACTCAAAGACGACGTCTTGAAAATCGCTTCGGTAAAAGAGGCTGTGGAAAGCGATATCACCGGCATCAGCTCGACACCCGCCGAGACTGGTGAAACGGTCCCAGCGGACGAAATTACCGACTTTGACAAGATTTCGGCAGATAGAGTCGAGCAGATGCAAGACGATAAAGTCATCCCAGTCAGGTTGATGTTTTTTTCGCTTTCCAGAAACCAGTCCTTTATGTTGTTTTCTTTTCTTTTCAGAGGTTTCAGGCGGATTATGGCCAAAACCATGGCTGCCGCGGCAGCCGTTCCTCACTTTCATTACATGGAGGAGATCAATGTGGATGCTCTTGTCAAATTAAGAGCTCATCTTCAATTACAAACTCGCTCCAAGCTTACTTTCCTCCCGTTTCTTATCAAAGCACTCTCGCTGACGCTGGTCAGGTACCCCATACTCAACAGCAACATCAACCAGGACGCGTCGGAAATCCGCTGCAAGAGTAAGTGTCTTCTCAAGTTTTTTTTATCTGATCTTCGCGCTTTGTCTGTTATCCTTTATGCAGCATGGCACAATGTTGGAGTCGCTATGGCTACTGATTCTGGCCTGGCAGTGCCAAACATCAAGCAAGTCCAGAAGCTTTCACTGGAAGAGGTAGTAAAACTCCAAACTTGTGTTCTTTACGAGCGACTAAACAGCTTTTCTCTCGCTTCTTTGATGCAAATCAACAGATTGCTGACGAGATAACGAGGCTCTCAAAGCTGGCCGCGGCCAACAAGCTGACCCCAGACGACGTGAGCAATGGCACAATAACCGTGTCAAACTTTGGAGCCATTGGTGGCAAGTTCGGCTCTCCCGTGCTCAATCTCCCGGAGGCGGCCATCCTCGCCGTGGGAAGAATCCAAAAGCTTCCGAGGTTCAATGAGGAGGGCCGAGTCTATCCAGCCTCGATTATGAGCGTAAGTTTCTTCGTTTCGAAGCTTCTGAGGAGGATCAAACTCTCACCTTGGCAATTGCGTAGGTGACGTTGGGTGCCGATCACAGGGTTATTGACGGAGCAACCATCGCAAGGTTTTGCAATGAATGGAAGGATATGGTGGAGCATCCGGAAAAATTCCTCCTTAGCCTCAAATAACAAGCTTGAGCTTGTGACCTTGAACGCTTTTTTTTTTTTTCTTTTTCTTTTTCTTTTTCTTTCTTCACGAGAAGCTTGGCAACGTAAAACGTCAGCTCACGAGGCACATACCAAAACCATGTCAATGCTCTCGAGGATTAAAAAAAGCCAGGCTTAGGATGAAGTAGAATAGAAATGAGAAAGGAATCTTACATGGGCGGCTGGGATTGGCGGCCAGAGAAAATCTAATGGTCAGGTCCCACGGCCATGGGCGGACCATACAAACGGCGGCAGGACATCAGGTCCACGTGCCGGTGGCGGTCGCGTGGTAGCCACCGGTTTGGCCGGTCCCCAGAGTTTCCAATTTATTGAGGCCCTGCTGCCTTACATGAAATTAGGGCTGCCTCCATGGTTTGTTTGCGGGAAGGAGCTTTGTTTGTTGCGCTGCGCCTAGGGTTTGGATCGTTGCGGCTGCCTGTGCTTGCATCCGCCCCGCCCGGATCTCCTCTTGCATGCTCGGCAGCAGTCCGGGTGTAATCGCGGGCTGGAGGTCTGTGGGAAGAATCGAGAGAGAGAGAGGGAAATTTCTCTCGGTTTTGGCGGTGAAATGCAGCAGGAGTCGCCCCGATTGTGAGGCGCACGAGTCATGAATCTCACCGCGGAGGAACCGGAGGCCCATGGCAGCAGCAAGATGGAGGGCGGCAGCTATTTCGGAGGGGGGGGCTCGCTCGAGGTCAAGGTTCTCTATGTGCGAGTGAGCTACTGCCCGCTGGATGGGAATCCCGACTCCCTGGTGGTGCGCTTCCCCTCGCGGACGATCGACAAGTACCTGGAGGTGAATGGAGCCCGGATTCCTCCCTCCGAGGAGATTTCTCTGGCTCTCCGGAGGGACAGGATGGACACCGAGTCCGTGGAGGTGACTTACGTCGGCACGGACCACTTGCATGTTGTGGGGTCTGTTGGTTTTGAGGTTGTCGATAAGGAGGAAGTTCTTCTCAGTGGCGTGCTCCAGAAGGTGGAGAAGAAGTCCTCGTCCACCAACAAGGCCGGAAGCGTTGTATGGAATATGGAGTGCAACTGTGCTTTGGGATCAGCTGGATGTGTTTTCACTCGTGGCCGCCACGAGTACTTCCTCACACCACCGACAATGGAGATCTGCGTTGTGGGCTCCCACTCTGGATCGCCGATAATCTTGACTCGGACTGTTCATCTCATGGCCCGGCGGAGAGTGACCCGGTGTGGAATGCTTGATGCCATTCCAGAGGACGAGGAGTGTCATCGCTCACAGAACAGAGCTGCTACGGACTCTGAGGTTGGTAGGCCAGACTTTTCTTCGCTTTCTATTCTAAAAGTTTGCTTTTTTTTTCCCTTTTGCGGTGGCTCCAGGTTGATGCGAGTGACACGATTCAAGCAAGTAATGAGAACCAAGAACTTGGGCTGAGCAAGTTCTTCCTGCCCGAGGCAACCGGGTATGGGGAGAACGAGGACGGGGAGATGTCCTGGTTTAACGCGGGTGTCAGGGTAGGCGTTGGTATCGGCCTGGGGATGTGCCTGGGCGTTGGCATAGGTGTTGGCCTCATGGTGCGGACGTACCAGGCCACAACCAGGAGTTTCAGGAGAAGGCTGTTTTGAGGGACTTCCATCTTTTGAAAGAGCTGGCAGGAGAAGGAAAAAAAAAGAGTGTGTTGGATAACGGTTCGGGTTCCCAGGTGTGTTCCAAAGTTTTAGCAGCTATATAGTTGTGGTGGTGCTACAGTCTCCTCCACAATTGCGGATCAGAGTCTAGTCCTTGTGCTCTGTAAAATTCCAAATTTTCTTCTTCTACTAGGCTACTATATCTCGTGGAACAGCTGTGTCGCGCTGTGGCTTTCGAAGCTTGTGAACAGACATTTTCTCGCGTCAAGACAAAAAAAAGTTTATTCGACTTCTATAGGTAACAAAGTTCTGTTCTTCATTTTATGCTCTTAACTCTTTTTTGCTAATCAGACTATCGATCTATCTCGTTCGATGCTTTAGTACGGGGGCGGTGAAGCTCGAGCAATCGGTGCCGGAGAGGAATAAACTGGCGGTGGCGCGGGTCTTACTGTTGGAGCCGGTGAACCATACAGTGGTGGTGGCGATGGTCGAGCGGTTGGAGCTGGAGATGAGTAGAGTGGAGGCGGGGGTCCCCGAACAATTGGACCAGGCGAGCCATAGAGGGGCGGCGGAGACGAGCGGACAGTCGGAGCCGGGGAAGAGTACAAAGGTGGCGGTGAAGCACGAGTTGTGGGAGCTGGAGAGGAATAGAGCGGGGGCGGGGAGGAGCGGACTATAGGAGCGGGAGAAGAGTACAGTGGCGGCGATGGTGGTCGACTTATAGGTGCTGGGGAGGAGTAAGCTGGCGGTGCTGAGGATGAGTAAGGTGGTGGCGATGGTGGCCGACTGACTGGTGCTGGAGACGAGTAAGGTGGTGGCGACGGTGGCCGACTAACTGGTGCTGGGGAAGAGTACGGTGGTGGCGATGGTGGTCGACTTATCGGCGCTGGAGAAGCATACGGAGGTGGCGATGACGGTCGACTTATCGGTGCTGGTGAAGAGTACGCTGGAGGTGGCGATGGTGGTCGGCTTATCGGTGCTGGAGAGGAGTACGCTGGAGGGGGTGATGGCGGTCGACTTACAGGTGCTGGAGAAGAGTATGCCGGTGGTGCGTAGCAGTACTCGGGTGGCAGCGGCGGCGAAGCGTAGTAAGCCCTTTGGGAACAGATGGGAAGCGGCTCCTCGGGCCGGAAGCTGAGAAGGCCGACGTAGATAACGTTGTCCTTGGTGCGCATGTTGGCGTTGAGCGTCTGTGCGTGCTTGGCCGCGATGTTGCACTGCGGAGTGGGAGTGCTCAGCAGCTTCACGGCGCACGAAGAGCCGGGCTCGTCCACCGGAATGGCGAACGCTCCGGCCGAGTCCGTCACTGCCTCGACGACGTGAATCCCCCCGTCTTGCTGCGTGCATTCGAGTGCGACTTTGGCACCTGGAACGCGATCAAACCATCGCCAGTGGTAAGTTCTATTGAGCAAGAGTTCTCACAAGATCATCCAGGACTACGACTTACCTTTGACGAAGATTGCGTACTCGGAGAAGCGGCCCTCGATGCATCGGTCGCAGAAAACCCGTCCGACGACGAGATCATTGTCGCCCACCGTCGCCGGATCGTCGGTCGCGAAGCAAGAAGCCATGAGAAGCAGCAGTAGCAGCAGCCGAAGCTCAGAGATGTTTGCAAGCTCCATGGAGCAAAGTAAACGAGCGAGAAAAATAGAGAACCAAGAAAAAAAAAAAGTGGCCAGTTTTTATAGACGCAGGCTGTTGGAGCTCGTAACTTTCGTCGTGGGCCTGGGTAACGGAACTCTTGGTTATTTACTCCGCCATTACCATTACCATAACCATAAACATTATCTTTATCGCGGAAATTATTCGCCGAATATCTTTGTGCTGACGTGGCGGGACATAGGGTTCTATAAGGGTCAGAGGAGTGAGTTTTTCTTCAAAGTGTGTTTGCGCCCGCCCGCGTTGACGAAATTTCCCCATTCTATCGCTTTCCCGTGCCGCCTTCCAATAGTTTAATCGTCAGCGAGATGGGCAAGGCGATGATATTCGCCTATCGTAGCCGTGGTACCAGCGACCCCGGGAGCAATGTGGATGTCTCGTCGAGGGCAATCCAGGTATTCTTCTTGGATCGAAATCTTTGTAGCCCTAGCCCTAGCGGCAGCGGCAGCGCTGGCATTGCTGCCAGGGCTCGCGGCGGCGCTGTCGAGCGATCTCCAGGCGCTGCTCGAGGTGAAAGCTGCGATTATCGACAGGAATGGCAGCCTGGCGAGCTGGAATGAGTCCCGGCCCTGCTCCCAGTGGATCGGCGTGACCTGCGCCAGCGATGGCCGAAGCCGCGACAACGATGCTGTGCTCAACGTGACGATCCAGGGGTTGAATCTTGCGGGAAGCATCTCTCCGGCGCTGGGCAGGCTCAGGAGCTTGCGCTTCCTCAACATGTCATACAATTGGCTCGACGGTGAGATTCCCGGCGAGATTGGGCAGTGCGCCAGCCTCGAGCAGCTCGATCTCAGCAACAACACTCACATCACCGGGAGGATCCCTCCGGAGCTCGGGAACTGCGCAAACATGACGTTCATCGACTTGAGTGTCAACCAGCTCGAGGGGGGCATCCCTTCCTCGATCACAAGGATGGTGAAGCTGGAGATTCTCGTGCTCTACCAGAACAATCTCACTGGAGAGATCCCCCCGGACATTGGCAGGCTCACGATGCTCCAGAACTTGCATCTCTTTAGCAACAAGATGAACGGGGAGATCCCCGCTGGGATCGGCAGCCTGGTCCATCTCGACGTGCTCATCCTCCAGGAGAACCAGTTCACCGGCGGCATTCCTCCCAGCCTTGGAAGGTGTGCCAACCTCTCGACTTTGCTCCTCGGGACGAACAACTTGTCCGGGATCATACCGCGAGAGCTCGGGAACTTAACCAGGCTCCAGTCGCTCCAGCTGTTTGATAATGGCTTCTCGGGAGAGCTCCCCGCCGAGCTTGCCAACTGCACCCGCCTGGAACATATCGACGTCAACACAAACCAGCTCGAGGGCCGGATTCCTCCGGAGCTTGGAAAGCTGGCCAGCTTGTCGGTTCTACAGCTCGCGGACAATGGTTTTTCTGGCAGCATTCCAGCCGAGCTCGGTGACTGCAAGAACTTGACCGCCCTCGTACTCAACATGAATCACTTGTCTGGAGAAATCCCTCGGAGTTTGTCGGGGCTGGAGAAGCTAGTGTACGTGGACATCTCGGAGAATGGTCTTGGTGGTGGGATCCCCAGAGAATTCGGGCAGCTGACGAGCTTAGAAACCTTCCAAGCGAGAACCAACCAGCTCAGTGGAAGCATCCCCGAGGAGTTGGGCAACTGCTCTCAGCTGTCCGTCATGGACTTGTCGGAGAACTACTTGACCGGAGGAATTCCTTCGCGATTCGGGGACATGGCTTGGCAGCGCCTCTACTTGCAAAGCAACGATCTCAGTGGACCACTTCCGCAAAGACTCGGAGATAACGGGATGCTGACAATCGTACACTCTGCAAACAACAGCCTCGAAGGAACCATTCCTCCCGGACTTTGCTCGAGCGGTTCCCTGTCCGCGATCAGCCTCGAGAGAAACAGGTTGACCGGGGGGATCCCTGTGGGCCTGGCGGGTTGCAAGAGCTTGCGGCGGATTTTCCTCGGCACGAACCGCCTCTCGGGAGCTATCCCCCGCGAGTTTGGCGACAATACCAACTTGACTTACATGGACGTCTCGGACAACAGTTTCAACGGATCCATCCCGGAGGAGCTCGGCAAGTGCTTCAGGCTGACGGCGCTTCTGGTGCATGACAACCAGCTCTCTGGCTCCATTCCAGACTCTCTCCAGCACCTCGAGGAGCTCACGCTTTTCAACGCGTCGGGGAACCATCTCACTGGCTCCATCTTTCCTACCGTCGGTCGGCTCTCGGAGCTCCTCCAGCTAGATCTCAGCCGCAACAATCTCAGTGGAGCGATACCGACAGGCATCAGCAACCTTACCGGGCTGATGGACCTCATCCTTCACGGAAATGCGCTCGAGGGAGAGCTGCCAACTTTCTGGATGGAACTGCGGAACTTGATAACTTTGGACGTGGCGAAGAACAGGTTACAGGGTCGGATTCCCGTCCAGCTTGGCTCGTTAGAGTCTCTGAGCGTTCTGGATCTTCACGGAAATGAGCTCGCCGGCACGATTCCACCTCAGTTGGCTGCGTTGACGAGGCTGCAAACGCTGGATCTGTCCTACAACATGCTCACCGGAGTGATACCGTCCCAGCTCGACCAGCTGAGAAGCTTGGAGGTTCTTAACGTTTCTTTCAACCAGTTGAGCGGACGTCTCCCGGATGGATGGCGATCGCAGCAAAGATTCAACAGCTCCTTTCTGGGAAACAGTGGCTTGTGCGGCTCGCAAGCTTTGAGTCCTTGCGCCAGTGACGAGAGCGGTAGCGGGACGACGAGGAGAATACCGACGGCAGGACTTGTGGGAATCATCGTCGGCAGCGCGCTCATAGCCTCGGTGGCGATCGTGGCATGCTGCTACGCGTGGAAGAGAGCGTCGGCGCACAGGCAGACCAGCCTCGTCTTCGGCGATCGTAGGAGAGGGATCACGTACGAGGCTTTGGTCGCCGCGACGGACAACTTCCACTCGCGCTTCGTCATCGGACAGGGTGCCTATGGGACGGTCTACAAAGCAAAGCTGCCATCCGGACTGGAGTTCGCCGTGAAGAAGCTCCAGCTCGTACAGGGTGAAAGAAGCGCAGTGGACGACCGAAGCTCCCTGCGCGAGCTTAAGACCGCTGGCCAGGTGAAGCACCGGAACATCGTCAAGCTCCACGCCTTCTTCAAGCTCGACGACTGCGACCTCCTGGTGTACGAGTTCATGGCGAACGGGAGCCTGGGAGACATGCTCTACAGGCGGCCCAGCGAGAGCCTCTCGTGGCAAACGCGCTACGAGATCGCTCTCGGGACGGCGCAGGGCCTGGCGTACTTGCACCACGACTGCTCGCCGGCGATCATCCACAGGGACATCAAGTCCAACAACATCCTCCTCGACATCGAGGTGAAAGCCAGGATCGCGGACTTTGGCCTCGCCAAGCTCGTGGAGAAGCAAGTGGAGACGGGCTCCATGTCGTCCATCGCCGGATCATACGGCTACATTGCTCCTGGTACGTGTTTTGCGTGTTTCCGCACGTTTCTCAGGCTGGCTTTGCGCAGAGTATGCCTACACGCTGCGAGTAAACGAGAAGAGCGACGTCTACAGCTTTGGCGTCGTCATTCTGGAGCTTTTGGTAGGAAAGTCGCCGGTGGACCCGCTGTTCTTGGAAAGGGGCCAGAATATAGTGTCTTGGGCAAAGAAATGCGGCAGCATAGAGGTACTGGCGGATCCCTCGGTGTGGGAATTCGCGAGCGAGGGTGACAGGAGCGAGATGTCACTGCTGCTGCGAGTGGCGCTCTTCTGCACCAGGGAAAGGCCGGGCGATCGCCCGACGATGAAAGAGGCGGTGGAGATGCTGAGGCAGGCCAGAGCCACGGGGGCGAGCTCCAAAAGCAGCCGGCGCGGGGCCCCATCGCCAGCAAAATTGGATTCGGACGACTCCAGAGTGCTGCTGTGACGAGATCGGTGTCCTGTCCCCTTGAACTTTTCAAACAAAAGTTGACGGGGATGATTTGGATTGGATTAGTTTTGGAAGAGTTTACAACACATTGCTCTAGCGGCGCGAGTTTGTCCGCATCGTCGCGGCCCACGATCCACTCTTCGGGCGTCGCCTCCTGATCGCATCGACCTGCGCTCGCCATGACACGCTGCTGGATGATCGCCGCTGGAACGATCCCGATCCGCGCACCAGCGCCAGATCGTAGCCCGCGCGCTGCTCCGGGTCGCACAGCACCTGGTACGCCTCCTGGACGCGCATGAACATCCGGGAGCATTGCTCGCGGTCGCCGGCCGGGCAGACGTCGGGGTGGTAGCGCAGCGCGAGCTTGCGGTAGCTGCTCTTGATCTCCGAGGCGTCGGCGCCGCAGCTCACGCCCAGCATCGCGTACAGATCCGCCGTCCCGCCGCTCGCGTAGGAGGAGAAGGAGCAGCGCGCGACCCCAGGCTTGCAGTTCCTCCTCCTCTCAGTTTCTTGCAGCGCTCCGGAATTTGCAGCGAGACGAAACGGGAGAGATCCTCGCAAAAAACTAGACATCCTTTTTCCACAGCTCTGCTTTCTTTAGGTATATAAACACCCCCGAAAGTATCCGCGAATATACCTAAGTTAATCTAAATAAAATCGCACATTGAAGAGTACTAAAGGCGTGGAAATATCGGGCAGTAGACTTGGATAAGCACACATGTTGGACAGCAACACGTGAGATCCGGAATCTCGAGTGTCCACGGCGAAGAGATTCCTGGCCGCGCCGCCGGCCCGCCCGACGTCTGCATGGAGCCGCCAGCAGCGGATGCCCGGCCTTTCCCAGCAAGTCCACCATGCAAGTGCTCCGCCAGCGGCGCCACCCCGAAGTCCTGTTGCATGGAGCGGAAGAAGGCGCAGCACTGCGGGACGCGGCCGATGTGGGTTTGAGCGACGAGCCCGCTCAGGCAAGCCACCTGGTCTGCGGGGAATCCCTCTGCCGCCATTGCCGCAAACATCCGGACACCTGACTCCCCGCGGCCCGTCTGCGCGTAGCAGGAGACTATGGCGCTCCACGAGACTCCGTTGGATTCTGGCATGGCGTCGAACACCCGGCGCGCGCGATCCAGATACCCCTTCTGGGCAAGTGCTGCCATTATCGCATTCCAGGTCTTGACGTCTCTGTGCGGCATTGCGTAGACGAGCGATATCCCTTCGCCTATGTTTCCGTTTTGCGCGTAAGATTGGAACATGGCCGTGTAGGAGATTTGGTCTCGATCGGGCATGTCGTCGAACGTTTCCTTAGCGTCTTCCAGATGCCCGGAAATGGTATATGCTGTCGCCTTTGCGTTCCACGCTGCCTGCGTGTGCTCCGGCATGGAATCAAAACAGAATCTTTCATTCTCTAAGTTTCCATTCTTCACGAACCCGGATATCATCGTTTAACACGACACCAAGTTCCGTTCTGGCACATGCTCAAAGAGATTCTCCGCTTGAGGCATCTGCCCGGCCTGGGCATATGCAGACATGAGAGAGCTCCACGTCAGCACGTTTTTCTCTTCCATGGAATCGAAAACCTCCTGGGCGTGGGTAGACATTCCCGCCTGGGAATACGCGGTGATCATGACCGTCCCCGCCACCACATTCTTGTCCGTAATCGAATCGTAGACGTCACTTGCTGCAGTGTCGGAAAGGGCCTGGAGCATCACCGTGCACGAAGCAGCACTCCAGTCCGGCATGGAATCAAACACAGCTTCCGTGCTCGCGAGGTCGCTGTTTTGGTAGTTCGCAAGGAGAATTGCGATCCAGCATATCACGTCATGCTCCGGCATGGACCGGAACACCGCCCAAGCGTCGGAGAGGTGCCCCATTTGGGCATAGGCCTGCAGCATTGTCGTCCAGGTAGCGAGATTCCAATCCGGAATATTGACTTTGCGGCCTACAACTGCCCTTCTTGGGCAAATGCAGTGATCATCGTGTTCCACGTAAATACGTTTCTCTCCTGCATGGAATCGAGCAGATCAAGTACACCGTTTAGATCAAGATCAGTGGCGTAAGCAACAAACATGATGTTCCACGAGATCAACGTCCAGTGTGGCATTCGATCGAAGAGATTCTTTTCTTCTTCCAGATGCCCTGCCTTGGCATATGTTGTGATCATCGCGTTCCATGTCACGGCGTTCTTTTCGGGCATTTTGTTAGGCGCCAATCATGGCCGTCCACGTGTAGACGTCCTTGTGGAGGATGCCATCGAAGACCCTGCATGCCTCGTCCAGGCAGCCGCACTTGCCGTAGAGGCGTTGAGGAGCTTGTCGCGGGAGAAATCGCTGTGGAGGATTGGATGCTCCGGAGCTTGGGCAGATCCGAGAAGGAAGACGAGCGCGGAATGCGATGGCGGTGGAGCTGCTGGAATTGATCGGAGAGGTGCCGCTCATATCCTCACGATGCCGAAAACATCGAGAGAAGAAAAAATCGCGTCGTTTCGAAAGATCCAATCCGGTTTGGATTAGCGGAACAATCCGGATGAGTCGGAATATTTGGTCTCCTCTCTCCCTCTCCGACGGCTATAGATATAAAAGGAGGCCTCCGGCCCCGTTCTGTTGGTCCATCGCAATCTTGCAACTTGCAAAAAAGTAGTGCTCTACGGTTCTTCGCTCCTCGCCGACACCTTGTTTGATTGGTTTGCTCGGCGAATTATTCCCCATTTTCTGTCATTTTGAGCTTTGATTTGGGAAGTGCAGTGATCCATCCATTCGCTCGCTATATATACAAGCAATTCGATCGTCGATCGAGATCATGTGTCAGTGCCTCAACAAGCCGGGCCATGCCGTGAGGCGACTGGGCGAGCCGCGCTCGTCGAGCGGCGGCGGTGGCTTGAAATGCGGCCGACTCTACTCGCTCTTGAAGGAGCAAAGGTCGAGGTTCTACATCTTCCGCCGCTGCATCGTCATGCTCGTCAAATCCTGAAGGTGGACCTCGATCGATTCATCCACCACAAGCTGGAATTTTTTCTTTGCTACTTTTTCTTTTGTACAAATTGTGCTTTGTGAGGGAGGAGCGGCACAGAGATCACTGCGAAAAGAAGCAAGAACAAATCCATCGCTGAGAAGCAAGTGAGATTTTTCCGACCGCAGCACTTGCTTTTCCAAATCAAATCTAACCTCCCCCCACTCCAAATCAGAGAAAATGGGGAGCCAAGCGAGATAATTCGCCGAGAAAACCAATCAAACAAGGTGTAGGAGAGGAGAAGAACCGTAGCGCACTACTTTTTTGCAAGTTGCAAGATTGCGATGGACCAGAGGAGACCAAATATTCCGTCCAACGATTCTGTCAAGTGGGCCATAATCCATCCCTTCCGTACCATCATTTCGGCCCATACGGCCGCGTGACGTTGTGTTCATTGCCGACGCTGTACTAATCAAATACTTTTTAACTAGTCCTCTTGTCAACCCAGCGATTGTGTGTCCTGTTGCGTTTTGTCCCTGCATCCCATTGGCTTTGTGTAGATCGTCTGGTTTTGCCACTGCCGCAGCATAAACTTCTATGTTGCAATCTCATGGCATTGCAAAAATGAAAAGAAGTTAGAGAAACCATAAAGAAAACTGTAGAGAACATAGACCTGGAAGGTTGAAGCCTCTAGCCCTTTTAGTTGTTCTCAGGTGTTGTCCAGTTAGAACAGACAGTCCATGAACCTGATGTTAGCAGCGGAGAGACATACATGAGGAGGAAAAACTTATTCAACTGTATATGGATGGTACATATATATGAAATTACTACCACATAGACATAATTACATGCCATATCATCTCTACCTCTAACACTTCCACTCATGATCAGGCGGCTGATCCAAGCTTGAATCTAAGCCTGAATCATGTTTAGCTCATCTGAAATGATGAGCATGGAGAGCTGATGAGAAAAACATACTAAAAACTCATCAATCAACTATACAAAACTTGGTTCTTAGTTTTAGACTTACTTGCGCACTCTTTGCTCCTTGCTATGGCTTCAATCTTGTCACTAGCATGTGGTCTTGGCTGTGAACTGCCAAGCTCCCACTTCTACTGTTACCAAACACTTGAATATCCATAAACATCTTTCTTAATTGCTAGAAATTCATGCAAAGAATTGTTATGCAATGTTCTTGAATTTTGTTTGATCCAATTTTTTATATGGGTTGCTGAAATCTCTCAATCTCCCATTAGCTTTATGCTTTGCTTGTTACTCCTTGCTATTGAGCACGAGGAGGAAGAACTTTCTCTCTGTATTCAACTATATATAAATGGTACATATACATGAAACTACTATGTAGGCATTATTACATGCCACATCATCTCTACCTCTAACACCTGATGTCCATTTTGTTGAACAGCAAACAGAACAAACAGAATACAAGTTGATCTGAGCGTCTTTTCTTGTCAATTCACGCTATGATCACTGTGCTTCTTATAGCCATTGAGAAGCACACACATTCCTTTGCCTTTGGGGTTGGACCATTGTCATGCACGTCTTCAGCTGGATTGAGGTTCTGAAGATCACAGGCAACGTTGTTTCTCAGCTCACAGGTCTTGTGTTGAGCGCAGCAACAACATAACTCAAAGCATCGACAATCACGTTGACACAAAATCTCTCCAATCTCATAGCATTTTTCTTCTTGGCACACTGTGACATGGCGTTTTCCAGTTCTTATCGTCGTTGAGCAGGTCACTTGGCTTCTTCATGACAAGAAATTAGAACCAATTGAAACACACGCAAACTTGAAGCCAACTTTCAATGATCATTCGTATTGCCCACATCCTCAAGCTCTTGCTGCTGATGTATGCCAGTCTTGGATAGCACATGCCTCGGGACCCCTCCCCACTTGTCAAACCTCTCGTCCACCTCGGCCTTTGGATACTTGAACACCAGATCGTTGGATTTATTCGTGAGACCACGTCGGGATGAAAAGCCTAATCACATCGTCTCCTTTGAAGAAGTGGTGGTGATTCTGCCGGCCAGGCGAGGTGGCCATAACGACCTTGCAAGGCAGGCTCCAGTAGTGCTTATCGATCTTCCAGTCCGCCAGGTACCACACCTTGCCTTCCTCTTCGGCCTCCACCCAATTCGCGGCAACGGCGGGGTTGACAGTGGATGAAACTTTGCCATCCTTGTCAAAGGCGTAGTAGCTGTCGGATTCCTTGAACTTGAGGAGGATGAGGTTCCAGCAACACTTGTGAAGGAGCGCCCACAACAGAACGAAGACAAAGCTGGACTTGCCGATCCCGGGCATGCCCAGCACAACCACGGAAGCTACCTTTGACGTCTCGATCAAGTCGAGGATTTTGCCTCACGTACACCAGCGGCTCGTGCTTTCTTGAGTATCGCCAGAGCCCCGCGAGCACTCTTGGCAGCTGCAGAAACTTACCCCCGGGCTCGTCAAGCAGCGGCGTCTGTGAGAAGCCTTCCAGCTGCTTGTGCCGGGCCTCGCAGATCTCGCGACCTACTCAGCTTTCGGGAATATCTATAGAATATGTTTTCCCTAATTAATTAAACATTAACTAGTTTAATGATTCTCAAAAAGCATATTTTTATGGTGAAAAAATGAGTTTCCTTTATTGGTTGGTTAGTTCTGCAACTTTAGTTGTGTATATATGTCATAGTAAGGGTGGCCAATGTCAATCTATACATACTTGAGCTAGAAGGTAATCAGTATAAAAGATGATTCTCTCCCTAGGTGAGTAGTTTAAATTAAAAAAAAAGATATCATATTAGGTTATACCTGTATAAAAAGTTTTTCTCCTAACATGGTTATCATGAAAAGAGCATGCTAATAGGATATCATTGATATACTTGCTCTAGTGGAGAATAAAAGAATTATCCCATCAGTCAAATTAAATTCCTAAGGCAATAGTGTGTCTCAACTAAATCAATGGTACTCATCCAACTTGGTTATACCCCAGCTATTGGTTCTTAGGCTGGTTGACTAAAAACTTTGTGGATCTTGCTCTTGGCCAATGGGAGAGTAGTATGGCTTGGATGCTCATTGGCTGAGTGAGGTAAGATAACATATCTAGTGGCAGCTTATTGAGTTTATGCTTGAGTTTAGTTGGCTAAAGATGGCCACATTATAAAAGAACATGTAAGGTGTTGTTAGCACTTATCTCTCTCTCTTTATAGTAATGAGCATACTTTCCCATAACTAGTGGGTATGATCCAAGGGCTTCTCTCTCTAGAGCATTGCTAAGCTCTCTATTGCACCATGATGATGAGCCAAAGCAATTACACCCTATCCCAAGCTCCAAAAACTTGAAATGCTGACATTGTAGGAGCTTGGCAATACAGCATTTCTTTCTATGCACTACACAGAAAATCATGTCAGATGGGTTATTGGGTTCATGTGAGAGAGGTGAATTTTTAAGGTGCAAGACAAATCATGTTAAAGACTAGATTTCACTGGTTACTC